ATTAAATGGAGTCTAAAAAATAGAATTCTTTTACCTGGTAATTAAACACCCCACGCTGGACAGTTGCGAGGGTTTTATAAAGGCATTGCTGAGTCTACAAAGAGTTGAAGTGCAAAAGCTCTACGTGCTGCTGGAGTTGGTGAGCAGGCACTTTCCCCCACGTTGGCAGCCTGTCCCCATGGGCAAAGTGAGCACCGTCCCTCCTCCTCCAGCCCAGCCGGGCTCTGGGAGTGACTCCTAAGGGAGAGAGGATGGCTTCGATGGTCATAAATTAGCAAAGCTCAATTCTTTGGCGCCGGTTTTTTTTTTTGTTTTTTTTTTTTGTTTTTTTTTTTTTCTTTCATTTGTTTGTTTGCTTTGGAATAAACTGTAAGAAAGAAGAAGTTGGAAATAGGTTGCTTCGTCGGATGTGGTGTTAGAAGCCAGAGGCCATCCCAGAAGGACAGGGAGTGGGGATTTGGCCACAAGAGGTCTCCAAGTGTTGAGGGTGTTGGGCTCCATACGCTGCTGTTAATGGCTCCATTGGGTTGCACGAGGCCGGAGCTCGCCGGGCTGTGCCCATCCCCTTCTGGGAGGTTGTGAAGGAGCAATGGGAGTTTCAGCAATGGCGTTATGTGGGGGCAGGGTGAGGACTGCTATGGGGTGTTGTCACCCAGCGTCCAATGGCAATTCCCTCTCTGGGAGGAGAGGGACAGAGTCTCCTCCTCACTCCCGAGGGAGCTTTGTCTCCTCCAAGGAGCCGTTCTGGTCGAGGCTTTCTGAACCCTGCTTGTTCCACTTCCCAGAAGTTAGCTGAGAAAGTTCTCTCTGGTTCCAACCTAAATTAGCCCTTCCTTCCTGGAGCTCTGCTTTGATCCGAGCATTTGAATCTCAACGCAAAACTTGGTGTTTTTGGGTGGCTTTTGCATGGCAACAACGTGCTGCAGGCTTTAACCCCTCCCCAGCCATCCTGGCTCTATGCCCACGCACACCATCTTCATTCCCAAATCATCTTTGGGCACCAGCTGGTCTTATAGCATCTGTCCCAGGATGGATGTCCCAAATGCTTCCCTTTGCCTCCATCCTGCTGGTGCTGCTGGGAGGTTGCATGGGTACAAATTGCTCCCCAGGGATGCTCACCTGTTGCATGTGCCACTCGATGCACATCTCACACATCTGCCAGCGTGTTCCCTTAATGCTTGCAACCACAGAGGAGACACCGTGGTTTGCCACTTACTGTGATACGATTGGGGTTTTTGGAGGACTGGGAGGTTTTCTGTTGCACTCCTTGATGTTCTTATTTTGGGTCAAGTTGGGACCTTGAGGGGTACATCCCTGCAGAGGGGATACTGTAGGCCCCCTCCATAAGAGTGGTTTTAGGACAAGATGCAATGGCCTTAAATTGTGACAGGAAAGGTTCAGGCTGGATATTAGGAACAGTTTGTTCTCTGAGCAGTGATGCAGTGGCACAGCTGCTCAGGGAGTGGTGGGGTCGACATCCCTGGAGGTATTCCAAAAGTGTGGGGATGTGGCACTGAGGGATGTGGTCAGTGGGCACTGTGGGGGTGGGTTGGGGTTACTTGATGATCTTGGAGGTCTTTTCCAACCTTGATTTTATGATGCTGAGCATTCCACTGGGAAGCAAGAGAGGATGGAAGAGAAAAGCCAGGCCCTGGCCATGCATCCTGCTTATTCTTTGACTTGTGGATTATTTGGGGGGGTGGGGGAGGGGGAGGAGAGCTCTCTTTGAGCTGTCACAGGAGAAGGTGAGAACAAAGGCTGGGACCCCGAGGAGGCAGCACCCTGACTCCATGCTCCTGGGGGGGACAAGGCAGCATCAGGGATGGGGTGCAGGTGCCACGCATTGGGGATGCTGAGGAAGTGGCTTCAAAGCAGGGTGAGCTGTGGGGTTCTGAGATGTTCCAGACTCCTGCAGGGCCCAAGACTAATGTTGAAAGGCAGAATTCCCAGAGGGTCTCTCTGTTTTCTTTTCTTTTTCTTTTTCTTATTTTTAAATATCAAATATCTACCTGGCAAGTCTTACAGAAGGAAGCACTGAATTAAGGGAGACAAGGCTTATGGGGCTTTCTCCCCTAAAAATAGATCCTCTCTTGAAAGAAGCAGTGGGCACTGCCCAGGGAGGTCAGCCAAAGCTGCCTGGACTTGTACTACCACCTCAATCTGATGTCCAGAATTAGCCTCCTCTCTTGCTGCGTGGGTTCAATGCTCCCTGGAGATTAAATGCATCACAACATTCATTTAATTTAAAAGAGAGTCTAAGGCATATGGCACGCCGTCATTTAAATGTTAGAAAAATTCAGCTTTGGACTCTTCCTTGTGATTTGCGGCGTGGTGATGAACCAAGGGAAGGGTCTGGGCTGTGCACAGGGCAGGGGCAGAAGTTGGGAAAGATGGAAAGGGCCTCAAACAGGGCTGCTTTTGCCATCCAGAACTGGTCTGACCTTTATACAGAAGGAGAAGGAAGGTGATTTGATTTAAACCATTGTCCAGCCTTTCTCTGCGGGTGTTTTCTGGGCTCTGTGATTAATAGAATGTTTAGAAGCAATAGGATTGGAATCTCATTTAAAGACTTACGTTCCTTACGTTTTTCCCCTTTTTAATTAATCTGAGGTTGCTCCTGGGACGGAGCAGTTGGATGAAGGAGCAGGAGGTTGATGCAAGGTGAAGGTGGAAGGGAGTGACAATGCTGATACACCACAGCAGGGCCGGACTGGGGCACCTGGGAGGAGCAGGAGGGAGTTTGCAAGGGGCTTCTGCAGAGTGGGGCACCTTTTGTCACCTGTGCTGGCCCTGCTCCCATCTGTGGTCTAATTTATGCTCATGAAGGGAGGGACAGGGGATTTTTCATTGTTTTGGGGTCTTTGCTTTGCTGTCTGAGCAACTGGCGTGCAGGAAAGCACCACGAGGCTACGAAGAGGGCTGATGTGCCTGGGATGCTATAGAGGCTGGGGCTGGGGATCTCCCGGCCGCTCTGGCAGATGGCTGGGTGTGAGCAGTGCTGGCCTGGCAGAGGGACCCCCCGCTCCTCCCCTTGTTATTGCTGCCCACCCCATCCCTGCTGCCTCCCCCCAGTGCTGCAGCTGGGGTCGAGCAAGAGCACAGCTTGCTCCTGCAGCCGGGGCGGCCGCGCTCCCTCAGACACGCATCTCTCTGTGCCATTAAAGCCGTTCGGGTGACGCTTGTGGAGTTGTAACCACACAACTTTCCCACGCTGCCTTCGCAACGCCGACAAGACAGGGCTGGATATCAGGGGCCTCATCCCGCGTCAGGCTGAGAAACAAAATGCTTCTGAAGCACTGAAGGTAGCGGAACATTTTCCGAGTGTCACATTTTAAGGTTGCATCTAACGATCTCCATGTCCCACTTATAATTGAAACAGAAGAGAGTGTTCACTTTTCATTCATTTTTAAAAGACTATTCAAATACCCTTTCATCTCCGCTAAACAGCCTGCCATGTATTTGAAGCCATTTTATATTTTGTTTCTACAGACATCCAAAAAACAGAGGTGAGTATTTTGGAACGTTGATAGAAAGATGCAAAGGCTTGCGAGGCGCTGAATGGCTTCAAGCTGCCTTGAACACATTCATCTTCCCAAGAAGAATTAGGCACAGTGTGATTCATTTTAATAGCAGAAGAAAAATAATACTACGATGTAGTGCTAAGTTCCCCACCTTTGATGGCAGACTAAAAAATGAGAGAGAAAAAAAAAATCTTTCTTCCCTTATGTTGCTGAAGTCTCCCTACACCCATCCGTTATGTCCAGCTTATCAATTAAGACGAACCCCATGAACTTCAGATGGTTTTTAAAACAAGGCACCATCCATTTAAATGTGTAAAACTGCCTGCAGCTCCCTTTAGCTGTGGGATTCAGTTCTGGGCTCTGTGTACTCAGTGTGAAGTTGAGCCCTTTGATAGAAGTTTTACTGATGTTTTAAATGAAGTCTTCTCATACACACAAAATAACCCAGATAATTTAAAACCTCACAGTAAAAATAGGGTGGAGGAAAAAGAAAAAAAAGTAGTCGGTGCCATTGGTCTAGCAAAAGAAAAGAGGCTGTCTTTGGTTACCAACATGACAGACCAAAAGCCTTTCCACAATTGCTTTCCCAGGGTTACTTGCTGGAGATGGGGAAGGTCTGGGCAACAGCTGGGAGACAAATCCAGCCCTGGTATGGGCAGCTTCCCTCGGCAACAAATTAAGGTCATTCATCTATAAAATAGGTTTTGTACCATAAAGACCAGCGAGAGGACGGGTGCGCAGCTACCAGCAGAGCCAGCTCTGGTGCCCATAGCTTAGAATCACAGAATCATTCAGGCTGGAAAAGACCTCCAAGGTCCCCAAGTCCAACCTCAACCCACCCCCGCCGTGCCCCCTGACCGCGTCCCTCAGCGCCGCATCTCTGTGGTTCTGCTGCACCTCCAGGGATGGGAACTTCCCCACCTCCTGGGCAGCTGTGCTGATGCCTGACCTCTCTCAGACATTTTCCCAATCTCCAATCTGTCGGGCTGGGCCAAAGGCAGCCGGAGGAGCCAGGAGGGGCCAGGTGATGTGGGTGGTGGAAGGAGACAAGCTGGCAGCCAGGAGCAGCCCCAGTGCAATTGCAGCTGGGCACAATCCCCCCACCCTCCATCATCTCCGTCCCATCACTGGCTTGAAGGAGAGCTCCAGCACCAGCTTTGAGAAACCACAACTGGTTTCTGCGACCCGAGTCCTCATCTTCAACAGCCCTTTCTCCTCCACCAGCCAGGCTGAATTTGTGTCCCAGCTACCTGGGTGAGCTGTACGTGGTTTAACCGCTGTGCTCAACACAGCTCAGCCTTTGTGATCCCTACCTGAACTGCAATGCTTCCCACTGGAAGCTCCTGACCAGGCAGGGCCGGGGCAGAAGGCAAGGCCGGGCTCTGCTACTGTTTCCAGCTACCACAAGGTGAGAAGGAATCTTTTCAGACAGCAGAAGTTGGGGTGGGGGGAGGGAGGAAAAAAAAAAGGCAGACGATATTAATTTGAAAAATATAAAATTTTAATAAAGGCTACATCTCTTAATTACAATAATTATTGTACCAAGTTGTTTTTGTTTTTGTTTTTTAAATGAAACTCTTTATAATGCATAATTTACAGTATAAGTAGAACAAAATGCCATGGCAAAAGTCATGAGTACAGGACTTGTAATAAAAGGCATAAAATATATTTGTACATAAACCCCTTAAACAAACAAGGGAAAGCTTGAACCCTGAATATAGGGCGACGCATGGCCTAGTAACACCATGCAGGCACAGGTACTGTACTGATTAAATTTAAAAAACACTAGAGATAGTGTATTAATATTTTCACCATACATTTTCTACAATATATACAGACTTACACAAGGTAGCAATGGCAAACAGAATGCACAGATTAACTTAATCAAAACCCAACTGTAGAAATGCAAGGTCTTGGGAAAGGGCTGCTGTGTCCTTGCATACGCAGTCGAAACTTTGCAAAGGGCTGCAGGGAGCTTTGCTGACATCTCTATTGGCTCCAATGGTCACTGTGAGGGTAAGGCCCAAAAAAAACCCACCACCCCAACCCCTCTACAAATCCACAACCGTCACAGCAAAGACACCCCACCATAGGTCTGTGTCCTTTAAATATAAACAAGTTGTGCTAACAACACTGAAGTAGAATGGCTAAAAGATGAGCTATGTGGAACACAAGCGGGTTTCTAACGTGGTTTCTGTGCTGTGTCCTTCAGGTGTGCTCTGTACAACAAGGGGAACTGGATGGCTCCTTTACAGCCCTCCTGCACTCGGGTTTTGCTCCAGCTCGCCTCAACACAGGCACTGAACACCATGCTGAACCCTCAACCCTGACAGCAGCACAGCAAAACCCTCAGAAACCCACGGACAAAACAGCAGGTCAGCATTGCTGTTGTTACGTTGCAGCTAACGGACTGAGCGCTGAAGACCTTTATTTCCAATCAGAGCAGCATATGTTCAAATGCACCGGTCTCAAGATGAATGGTAGGACAGTATTTTTAATGTCGGGTTTTATTATTATTGTTTCTGTAGAAAAGTTTTCTCTTCGCTCAGAGAAATACTGGGCATGACGCTGTTCCTTCCCTCCCCCCCCTTCAAAAAATAAAAAATAAAAAAAAATAATCATGAATGCGCTCCTGGCCACACTCCTAGGCTTTAGACAGTGGGAACAGCATAAAAAAATAAAATCATCCTTCCTCCCATCACGCCACTTCCCAGCCCCTCTCTCTTCTCCATTGTTAAAGCAGCATATCCAAAAACTGGACTTAAGGGAAAACAGACTGTTCAATAAATATCAATAAGGATTACTGTTAAGGTAAGCTATACATAGTTTCTCTTAGTCCGTAGATTTCAGATCCCCGGGAAATCATATATTATGTATGGAAGTCTCTCAAACACGGTCTGCATCTCCAATAGCCAACAGTGGTCATGTTTTTAATAAATAGTACGGGGTTTTTTATCATCTCAGTACCCAACTCATGAATAATAAATGCCATTTTTTCCTCTAAGGCTAATTCAGCAAAGTCTTCATAGACTTCACTTTTTTCTTCATTGGTTCAAAACTTTCCTTCAGAACTTTTTTTTCTTTTTCCTTGTCATCACTACTGTTGTGTGTCCAAAGGCTTTTTTGTTTTTTTTTTTCCTAGCTTAAATTTTCTCAAGAAACACAGATGCCATCAATCGATCCTTTCTACTTTCCCAAGAATCCTTCCTTCGTACATGGGCAGAATTGTTTCGTCTTCCCAGATCTCTTCAAACACTGCACCGCAGTCAAACTCGTCGCTTGCCTTTTTGAAGTAGTATCTGTGGCGAGGAGAATTAAAACACAGTTAAAAATCAAAAGGTAAAGTAAAGGATGCTTTGGCAGTTTTTAAACCACTACGTTTCCAATCTCTCTCTCCTAGGATGCCACTTCAGTTCCCAGCGTGGCCAGGAAAAGCTTGGGGCTGGTTCCATATGAAAGCACCGCTGGCACCGCAGGGGCACGCAGTGGGATGGCAATGGGACAGCAATGGGACAGTGCAGGGATGGAAGGAGCAGAGACAACAGCTTCTGCAGCACTGTGAGTAACCCACACGCCTTGGCAGGGGATATCCTCAGCAGTAAAGAAAATTAGAAAGCGCAGCGAATTCTGGTCAAATATCTTATTTGAAAGAATAAATAAATACAATTTCAAAGCAAAGCGTTCTTAAGGTTCCCCTCTCTCCCCACCTTCTTTCTTTCATGTGTTTTCTTGTTTCAAAGCGGAGGCCCAACATTAAAATTAGCAACTGTTATTAAAAGGAGAGGCTTTTTAGGCACACAGACGGATTAAAGGAAAGCCTTCCCAGCTTCCTGCAAAGCAGAAGCTGAAACCCTGTGGTACTTCTACAGCAAAACTGGGAGCTTCCCATTAGGAGCAACAAAATGCCTAATTCACATCTCCATTTTAAATGACTGAAACTACTGTATTTGCTTCCTGACGCTTGGTAGCGGTCACATGCAAAGAGCAACCCCCGGTCCAGCCTGCAAGATGTGACACGGGAAGGTCAAGTAGCAGTGTCCTGCATTCCTTCTCTTTTGCTCTGGGTCATTAGATCATGAAACCAATGCTCCCAGAGACAAAAAGTACCCCCACCCCTCCTGTGTCAAACAGTAAGGACCCCTCTATTATCCTGAATTAGACCGTTCAGCTTCTTGATTAAAGGTTCCTTTTATCCCGTTTCTAGCTTTCTTCCTTCTAAGGCTGCTTAATTGCATATGCAGAAATGAAGGGCTTCCATTCAGAGGGGTAGCATTTAGGGAGCCTGTCCGTCTGCCGCCGCGCACCTCCTCAGCCATGCCTGCTCCCTGGAAAAGGGCTTTGCCATCTCTTCCCCAGAAACGGGAAAACCTCCATCAGATGGATCACCAAAAAAAAGTCAGTGCCTGAGGGTGGTGGATGGCTGCTGGGTGGGAGAAGGTTGCAAAAAGGGAGAGGAAATCAAGCTCCCTTTTACTACCGCAACTGAAAAGCCAAGGCATCCAAGGCACGCTCGTATAATCTGGGTGTGAAGTAGTGATGGTCATATTATGCATTTTTAAAAATCACCAGCATCACTGGCTTTCAAATCTATCTATTTCTAGGATATGCTGGAGTTGTTTTGGTAGGGGGCTACAGGCTGGCTTCTTGGTTCAAGAGACTGAAGCAGCTCCATTTAGTCAAGGTGCGTTTAGGGTTTATGTTAGTCAAGTCATTCCAAGCCAAACTGCCACATGTTGTGTCCTTAATGGTTCAGCAAGGAAAACATCTTCACATCCTCCCAGGCTGTGCTTGCTGGTGGCCAGGGCACAGCTCCCACCCTGTTAACACCACAGGTCAAGGCCACAATTCCCCAGGCCAGCAGGCTTGAAACAAAACCCAAAACAGGGAAAGTTTGAATGAATTACAAAGAACTTTCTCTTTCCTTTCCCCTTCTCCGCCCCTCCGCAGATAACAGCCGCTCTTCCCAATGACTTCCTCCCCAGGCCCAAACGCTGGCTGTGTTTACAACATTTTTATTGGAGAAAACATGCTGTGACCTTTTACATAATTACAACCTTATTTCACAGAGAAAAGGAGAAAAAAAAAATATTAAAAAAAAAAAAAGAAGAGGAGGCAAAGCAAAATCCTCCCCCACACCATCTTCAAACAAGGCGCTGGGCTCTTATTTGCTCAGAAATGGGCTTTCCATTGAAACATATTTTATGTGGCAAGCTTTGCTTTTTTTTTTTATTTTTATTTTTTTATTCCTCCCCTCCTTTTTGGACATCTGGTACCAATAGAGCCGAGCAGGCCTGGCGTTACTGCTCTGTTTTGAACCTCTGCCACGTTAAGATTACCCGACACCACCCAGTTTTTGTGTGTGTGTGTATGTTTGTTTTTTGTTAACGCCATCAGCGTTCAATCGCGGCTCGATGCCTTCGTTTTTGGGGCTGGGAGGAGCAAAGCAGTGAGGGTTGTGGGGCTGCCCCATGGCCAGCGGGCACAGCTCTGAGCACAGGGAAGAGCAGGGCCTGAAGTACCCGCCTCGCAAACTGATTCAATCAATAAAGAATTTGGAGAGTCGAGCATTTATGCATGTCTTTGTGCATTAAATGAAAGGCAAAGGCTTCAAAGACATGCTTATTAAATGTGCCTTAAAAAGAAATCAATGCCAGATGTGACCAAAGCGGCCTAGTTAGTGCCTCCCCTAACACACACACCACTCCGGGCACTGCGGCCTTCTTCCCTGAAGGTCACCCGCAGTTTCACTCAAAGTCCAGCCAAAAGTCAAAGCTTAGATCAAAATGATTCCCTGGAGGTACACACATTTGTGTAATTAGTTTCACCTTGTGTCTGTGCGAGATAAAATACTGGGCACGTACCCAAGTTCCTTTTATAAATTTCAGTATTGTCTTTACCCAGGTGTAAAGGGGTGAGATCTAAGCAAAACATTGTTTCATCCTTGTCAGTCACTTAAAAACATTTTCTAAAGTAATTACAGTCTGACAAGACACAAATAATTGCACCTGGAGGGGCTTTCAGGCCACAGAGGTTCCAGTATCCTGCTATAGCACTCAGTCATCGCACAAAAATTGCTACTAAAGCAAACATTGGAAAAAAAAAGATATTTGGGGGGGGGCAGGAGAATAGAGCAGCAGCAAATCACAGCAAGGCTCAGGAAACTGGGCTGCAACTGGGCTGTGGGGTTGCACCTGTGTTTGCAGTGTGAACGGGTGCGTGGTGGGTCAGGAGAGGCTCTGCAAGCTGAAAAATGGCACAGGGGTGAAAGTAACACCAGAAGCTCTCCTGGAGGGTATCCAGGTTGGGTGTATTTGCAGGTTGCTGCCATCTGATGGCAGCTGGGCGGGCTGCAAAGATGGCTTTTTAGGCAGGACTGGCAATATTTCAGCCCCAGCCCCACTGGGTGGCATCCAGAGACAGACCCTGGATTAGCATCCTTCATCCCGAGAGCTCCCTGGGGTGAGTTCTGATCCGCATAGGTGGAATTTCCAATGCTAGAGACAAGCCAGCCATGGTGCACCAGCTGGAAAGTCCTCTTAACAAAACAAAATGACCATTTGGAAGTTAAATGGGAGGCTGCCAGTTACAGGGCAGGCTGCCTGGCTCTTTGAAGAAGTGCCAAATTCAGTGCAAATGCAATCCTTCGAGCTGGACCTTTCCCCCCTGCTCAGCCTGAAGGAGAAGTGGCAGACAGATGATCCCACTTGCACCCGAATCCACTGGGAGAGTAAAGCAAAAGCAGCCAACAAAGACACGGCCATGGGAACAGGAAGAGCAAGGAAGCAGCAAACTGGCTAAACTGGGCCCTGGCAACCAGAAACGTGGGGTTTTGCTGGTGCCTGAGGAGGAACCCAGTATCACTGGTGGATTTTTCCCTACTAGGCAAAGTTTTCTTCCCCCTAACAAGGAGAAAAATCTTTTCAACAGCTGAAGCAAACTGGCCTACACCTCAGCTACGTGCCCAGTCCCATGCAGCATCCCAACCTCACACCTATCGGATTTATGGCAACACTGTTCAAACAACCACCAGGACTGGTGGGGCACAGATGGCACTGTGCCTGCTGCTCTGCCCCCAAGTTGCACTTGGTTTGAGTGGGAAAAACATCAACAGCCTCCAAAAGGTGATGGTTGTAAGCATGTCATTGCGGGTAGCTTTGCAAAAAGATCTGCTGATCCTTCTGTCTTATTTCAGTACATGAAAGAACTGCAAAGATTCTTACCTGTAATTTCCCTTTTTGCTCAGCTGTTCTTTAAAGTGCCCAAGTGTCAGGCTCTGGGCCTTTAACATCCTCCTGTAGGGAATTTCTTCTCCGCAAAAAAAATAGGTGACAACCAACTCACTAGACTGAGAGGTGTGAACAACAGGGAGTTTCTTTGGCTCTTTGTGGCTGTGAAACAAAAACAAAACACAACACACAAAAACTCTATTTTTCCATCTGAGAAAGGCAGTTTCACGGCGCTCAGCCGACATGTAGCACTGGTCAGAAATACAGTGGGTGTGACCTGAAAGTCAGATATTCCTGCACTCCAAGTGAATTTGTCATGCTGTGTTTGCACAGCACTTAGCCCTGTGGGATGCTGGGCTCTGACAGCAGCTCCTGGTCGCTTTGATGGTGAAAGTATCAGCATCACAAAGTGCCCAGCCTCAGGGTGCATCTGGGCAGTGGAGGCTCAGCCCCATTTGCTGGATGGGAGAACGAAGGGACGGAGGGGAGGAACTTGCTGGAACACCAGGCAGCAGGACTGATGGCCAGATGAGCGTGCACAGGGCTCACCCCACATCCCAGACCAGAGCACTGAACATATCTGAGTTTCATTAACAATCAATCTGCCTTCATACAAAGCATCTGACAAGCCTCCTCCTAATGTACAGAACTACCTGCAGCTAACAGAGCCAAATACTGCCAACCAAGGCACCTGAGGAACACAGGTGAGCTTATTTTCACCCATGAGCAGCAGGGATAAAATTAACTGCATCTTGTCATTTGAAATAAGGAACACTTCTTAAGGAATAATTAAAACAATATTGCACAGCAAAATGGCAACGCTCTGGTGAATGCCATGCAGCCAAACCTACAACTGCTTCTGAGGCAATGTACACTTGGCATGTCAAAAGGTCACAAAGTGTTAGTCCACAGTAATTTAGTCTTCCTAATTTGTTCTAAGTCTTTGTAGAGCGGCTTCAGAAAAAAAGCTGCTAGCAAAGACAGCTGGTGGACTTAAGGTCAACCAATTAAAAATGAAAGGCTCTAGTCAGGTGGCTCAGTCTGGACTTCAAACATTACTCATTGCTTAAGATGAAGAGGGTAAGAAAGAAAACTTTAATTATTTAGGCCATTTTAGACCTCTCTGTAGCAGATTTCTTGTTAAAAGAACCATCCTGTAATTAGACTAATCCAATCTTTGTCCACTTTACAGGAATGCAAGTTAAAAAGAGCCGGAGACAAGATTTGAGAATGTTTTGTTCTTTCTTCAAGAAGAATGTTTAAAAGACTAAACTTCAGATATAAAAATTTCCTGCTTTTTCAAAGCACAATCCATTTAATGAAAATATAATTATTACTATACATGCATATTTCCCAATCCTCTTATGTGCATGCAATACTCACTCTTCTGTCGTTAGACTTGCATTGCAAAAAGGGGTGTTTCCCCCCTGTACAGCAGTGGAGTGGTTTCGATCCCTCTGCTGATTTGAGGTTGAGCATCTGGAGTTGGAGGGGGACACATGGGGGAAGAGAAGGAAAAGAAACAAAGATACGTTTTTCCAATTGTTGAAATACGATCCTCCTAATTGGAATCTCCTGTGGATTGTTAAGTAGCATTTTGTATCAACCTGCGTGTGTTGTAAACAATCAAAGGAAGAATTAAAAATACTCGGAGCTAATGATCGTTCCGTGCCCAAATGAATGATAACCAGCCCAGCTCTCCACTTGGTGTGTAGCTGGAGTCCATCCCAGAGGAAAAACGGGCAAATTACAGCCATCAAAAGAGTGGAAGTAATACTCTACGATTCAAACTATTTGTACTGGGGTAGGGTGGGGTTGGAATAAGGAGGCTCATCCCTGGGGCTTGGCCAAGCTGTGCCGTCATGCAGCCCTATGGTCCGGCCCCATCCCTGACCTGGACCTCTACCGACAACGGGAGGAAGATGCCATCCATGCCTGCTACAGCCCTACCAGCCCTCAGCCTCCACCTGTCTGAAGAAGAGCTCAACCCGACAGCCAGCAACCAGCCCCGGCTGAGGCTCCTTCTTTGCACAAACCCACGCAGCTCCCACATCCCAGCACCCAGCCAGAACGCCCCATCCCTCCCACCGCCCTTACCGTTGCTTCTGAGGCTTGGAGACTTCGGCGAGCCGGCGGCACGCTTCCTCCAACTGGGCCAGGGTGTTGGGCGGGGTGAGCGGGGGCATGGCGGGGTCCTGGATGAAGGGGTGGGCAGGCTGCGCCCCGCGCGGGTGGCTGCTGGGCCCCCAGGGGTGGTGGCGGCCGGGGCGCTCGCTGGGAGCCCCCTTGGCGAAGTCGGAGCCGTAGGCCTTCTTTGTGCTTTGTGTGCTTGGGGAGGGGAGGAAGTCGGGTTAGAAAAGCTGGAAAATATGACTTTAATAGCAGCTCCTATTCTGCTCGCTCCCTCTCAAAAGTCTGTCATAACATGAAAGGAGGTTTATTGCCAAAAACATGACATTTTTGTGGTTTTTCTGGTTCTGCGGAACAGCTTTTATATTAAACCAGAGGACCAAAGAGTCTCATTTGTTTTTAGCGATTGTAAAAATAGACAGCCCATGTAATATATAAATATTTACCGGGAGCGATATTGCTGTAGACAGCTGCGTATTTACCTATGGGGCTTGTGCTTATTTTGTCTCTCGCTCTCCAGCATCCACTGCCAGACGTTCTGCGCCCGGTCTGCCTCACCGCCAGGTAGCTGCACCCCACTGGGGCCAGGCAGCCCTCCTTCCCCGGGCAGCAGAGTGATGCTCTCCACTCCTCGGCCTGGCCTCTTGGTCAGCGTGCCTGTCCTGCTGATGGCGAGAAGGGGACAGAGCCCACCATTAGCCTGCAATTAGTCCCCTGTGCTGCCCCACCACCCAGCCTCATACAGCCCCGCTGCAGCGAGCTGGTGGGTTTGGGTGGGTGCAATGCAGAAAGGCTCGAGGCTTACCCAAAGGGCTCCAGTGGAGGGAGAGGTGGGTCAATGCCCTTCGTGTGGCCCTTGCACTTGGAGAAGCAGTAGTAGTCGCTGCCTGACGGGCAGCAGCACTGCACCCGCTGCGCTGCCTCCGCTTCGATCTGCTCCTTCGTCTTGGGCACAGCATGATGGTGGATATAGTGGTGGTGGACATGCTTGGTGGTCTGCTTGGTGATAAATCCCTTACCCAGGAGGGCGCAGGTGGCTGGTGAGGCAGTGCTGGGCTGCAGCTTACCCCCCAGCAGGTGGTCAGGGGAGCGGGCGCGGGGGCTGTGCCGGCCCATGCCAGGCGACTGGCAGCCGGGGGTCTTCAGCACACGGGAGAGGTGCTCATCCAGGATGGCCTGGGGGTCCTCCTCGTAGCTGCCAGATGGCAGGAGCGAGAGCGGGTGCTGCTGGTGCTGGGGGTTCACCATCTCCCGACCGCTTTGCAGGCTGACAGGGAGCTCCAAGCCTTCCTTCTCCTCATCCTGGAAGAAAAATAAGAATAAGAAATAGATGCAAAGGGACGGGCAGCTGGTGAGGGTGTGCCCCCACAGCTCACCCAGTACAAGAGCCACATTCCTCCCTGTACTCCTAGCCCTCAGCGTGGGCAGTATGCAGCCCCTCTGCCCCCCCAGCCCAGAGCGTGCAGGGAGCTCTGCCCAGCCCCGGCAGGGCTAATCCTCCTCCTCCTACCTCCTTGATTTGCTGCAGCCTCTCCTCCAGACTGTCCATGGTTTCTTGCTCCTGCTTCAGCTTCTCCAGCCGGGAAATGAGCTCCGCAGCGAAGGCAGCCGGCTCCACCGGGGTCATCTCCTTGGGAAGGCGGTGGGTCCTCTACAAGGAGCGGGGACAGAAGGCACAAGGCATGTTTAGCAGGCAGTGCAGGGCGCTTAGCCGGAGCGGCATCGCCGGCCCCGCTACGCTTGTTGTGTCTCCATGTTTGGATGAAAAGACGACCGCAACTAGGCATGGTCTGCTCTGGATTTTTATGAGCTAGTGCTGTGGCCTCATGGAGTGACATCCTCCCCACCAGCGTTTGCCTTCGGCAGGAGCAGTTGGTCGCACTCTGAGGAACCCCGCTTGTTCTCTCTGTAGTACAACCAGCCCATCAGTAGCTACTCTGAAGTAGAAAATCTTCAAAGACTGTTGTCAAACATCAAAAAAGAAAAAAAAAAGAAAAAGAAAAAAAAAAAAAAAAACCTCTGAGGTGGGAGGGAGAGACTTTAACTCAAGGAATAAAGTGAGTATAAACAGAAAGGAGTTGGAAATTAAAAAAAATAAGATGGGGGAGAAAAAGGGAAAGAAAAAAAAAAAAAAGTCAAACGGTTGCAGATCAGAGAAGTGCTGGTAATTTATTTCCTGGCTACACACTGGGCACCTTTGAGGTAGTGTTGTCTCAACAGTGTCCTAGATCTCTTCCCCCCCCTCTCCATCTCTTTGTACAGAAAATGAAGAAAGCTGCTGCAGGCTAGCGGTGCTACACTGCTGAGCTTGGCTGCCTCAAGCAGATCTATCAAGGGAAAAAGGGAACATCTCCAAATCAAGTGCAGAATATAAAAAGGCAAAACGAGAATTTCTGCCAAAAGAAGCAAACATGGCAGACAAACGGGGGGGTGGGGGGTGTGAAGAGTGGGAAGAAAAAAAGAAGGGAGAAAGAAAGCATCCACCTGACTCTGCCCTCCTTCCTGCCCCCCCCCCGCCGCCCCCCGCCCCGCCCCCGCCCCCCCCCTGGGTTCGGGCCCCCCCCCCCCCCCCCCCTTTTTTTTTGAAAGCAGAAAGCTGAACTGCCAACTCTTTCACATCCTAACCACCAGATGAGGTGGGGCCTCTCTCCGGCAACCACTTAGCTCCAGAAATGATGTGAGGGTAGAAAAAGGCCACTCTGCTGGAAATTGTCACTCTTACACAAGCTGGCTCTATTCAGTCCCTGATCAAAGCACTGCCTTACAGAGAAAGTCGATTTGCACGCCCTGGGACAAAATAATCTAATTTACAAGCTCAGGCTATAGAACTTTCTTTATGGAAGAAGGGAAAAAAATACCAAAAAGAAAAGCCACATAAACTAACCCCCCTCCCCCCCCCACCAGAAACATCATCTATGATTTCTTGCTGCTTAAGACAGCAGAAAGAGGAATTTTAGCATATTAATCTCAAGACAAGATGAGTTTATACTTGTCTGTGTAAACAGTTTATTCACTGCAGGAATCAGGAGTCTGCAAGTCAACAGAATTAGCAAGTCAGTGAGTTAATTTTCGAGAGCAAGGCTACTCCACAAACTGGATCCCCTCAAAGTACAGCAGCAAGAGTTCTGGAGGCACATATTTGCTGCAAATGTTCCTCTTTTGGGAGAGCCTGCTTCCTGCCAGCTTACAAACAGTGGGCTTTGAAGGCTGAGGGTAATGATGTGCATGAGGTGAAGTCGCTCTGTGTGGCACAGAGGTGTCAAGGCTGTGCCTGGCTGCTGCACCTGCAGCCAAGAAAGGCTCTGCTGGACCTAACCTGAGCATCCCTGCTTGAATTAAGCCAGGACGCCAAATTTAGGGTCATCAATGAGCCCTAATTAGCACTTGGCCTTCAAGGAAAGACCAGACATGACTACGTGGGTTTCCGCAAGGATGCTCAGAGCACGTGGCTCCCACTTGGCACCCAGCAGCTTTTCAGGAAAGCTCAGGCACTGCGTAAGGATGGAATCACTTCACCCCTGCTCCATCCCCCCACAAATGTCCTGACTCCAACCCAGACCCTGCAGCTCCCACCTGAACTTACCGGAAAATGAGGTAGAGAAACTTGACCGTTGGCCTTAACGCTGCGATGCATCTCTCTCTGGAGCTGCTTCTTGCTCCCAATTCTGTACGGGGGGATCCCATCTCTGCACATGGAAAAGAGGTCGCTGTCAGCTGGGGCTCCCCATCCAGAGGGAGGCACAGATCAGTCACACATGGCTCCACGCAGCCACCTCGTGCTCTACCCAAACCAGTTCTCCATCACCTCCAAAATAACCCAAGCATGCTGCAGGCCCACGTTCTCAGACATCTCGAGCACTCTAGATGTCACCTGGAGCCAGGATAAGCCTCCAACATCTGGCGGCTTGGGAGGGGCCCGTCACCATCCACACGGATGAGCAGTAATTAAGTAAAAGCTAAAAAGCAAGCTGAAGGCAACTCTATGTGAGAAGACGCCCAGAAGATCCCATTAGCTTTACTCATCTTATAGAATGGCCCTTCCATTGACAGCTTTCTGCTTTTGCCCTTTGGCTTCGTTGCATTTTTCACCACTTATTTAAGCTCTCTGAGATCACAACTTTCTTCCTGCTCAGAAACATCCTATAGGACACTGGCACTTATGGAGTCAAGAAGGAAGGAGCTGATGATGAATGGCCATCAGAAAACTGCTCCCCATCCCCAAGGCCCTGCTTGAGCTCTGACACAGTCCTCCTGCCCTGAGGGTAGGCACAGCAAGGGACAAGCAAATGTGGGTCTCCAACTTCAGGCACAACACTGTTCCTGTTAGCCATGCCAGCCCCTTGCCAAGAACCCAAGAGAAGAGATCCAGTAATAACGGCACACTGCAACGCTGGCTCAAGACTATGCAGGGTGTTCTCACCTGGCCATGCAAAAAAATTACCCCACTGGGATTAAAGAGCCTTCCATAGAGAGCGGGGACAACAGGAAGAGCGTGCCTGGAAGTCCTGAATGTCTGATTCCACCCCTTCTCTCAGACTTGCTGAGAAACTTTGATCTCTGGTCCAGTCCCTTTCATCCATCTGCCCCCACACCTTACTCATCTGCTGAGCAGAGAAAATAGCTCCAAAAAGCCGAGGTGGCACAGTGTTACCCATGTCACCTCCTGCTCACAGTTTGAAGCGCGCTGCTTCAGGCCTCTGGGAAGACCAGAGCCAAGCTTTCAGTCACTATTAATAATAAGTGACTGTTTTAATGAGCGAAACTAAGCTGCAAAACCCAGAGTGAAAGAGCAGAGCAATCCCATCCCCATAAACTTGGAAATATACTGATAATGACAGAGAGCATACTGGGACTGTAACAGTCCCCAGTGCCTCAAGGTGATCATCAGCCTCTTCCAGATGCAGCCCATGGACGTGTATGACATACAGGAGCTCACTGTCCCCACTGCACGACTCAGGGCTGCAGAGTGCTTTGCAGGGAAGCAGTGAACCATGGCCACTGGTGGCCCCCAAGTGTCCTGAAGGACACCTGAAGTACCTGCATGGGGCTGGAGGAATGACTGAGAGAGCAAATCCTGAGTGAAGGACAAATCATCTGCACTTTCAGGGAGACATACGCTCACTGCAGCTTCACTGAGATTAGGGTCTTTTAGGGAAAAGCATCACTTTAGGAAGTAAGGAGTGAAACAGACATTCTAAAGGTAAGTAAAAATGCCATCATGCACACAAGCCATGCATCCATATATAGAGGCCAAATTCTGTTAACAATCAATGCAAGAAGAGGTGTCTTCTACCAGCAGCAGTCCAAGAGGCCAGATGGGGAGGCGCAGGGAGGGGGCACAAGGGCTGCACTCAGCATGGGGCACACAAGGACACGAGCAGAGGGTGTGGGTAGCTCCCACCTCGCTCCAGCCTGCAAGAGAGATGCTGTCCCCAGACTAACACTGTGGCCATCAGCCATCCCTGCAGGGTGTCCCCATGCTTTGGGACCATCCCTGCCCAGCAGGATGCCCCGGGACAAGCAACAGAACAGGAGCAACTGACTTATGCTGTCCTTGCAGCCAAGCCAGGCGATGTGGCTTAAAAAGGAAGAGGAAAAGCAATGTCTTGCAGAAGCTGACCCAAGAGCACAGTTCCTCTCTTGATTTAAGATTTACCCTTGTTCAGGTTACTATGAAGGCCACTCCTTCCTCCTAAACCTCCTCTGGCTGCAGAGCCCAGATCAACCCTCCTGCTCCCTGCTTTTACAGCCCTACCTTGTCAGAAGAGCTTTACAACTTGTAACAAAGTGCAGAATTAAAGAAAAAAACCACGTATTTCACTGTGATGAGAAGACAGCAGTACTGCTCAGGAAAGCCAGCCTGCAGAATGAGGGGGGGGACTTTCATAGCCAGTGTGACTGGGAGGAGAATGGACAATACTGGGTGAGAAGGGAGGAGGAGCTGAACGAAGCATGGTCACCCCCTGCAGCAGGGACAGATGGACGGAGTGGAGCCAGGCTCACTACAGCAGGAGATACTGTGGGGCACAAACCCCTGATGCTGAAATAGACCCCAACCATGATGAGGAGAAAGCCTTTAAAATAAAAATGTGCTTGGTCAGAGGTTCCAGCACAGAGCATAGGCTTAGGGTCAACCCAAGTGAAAAAGTGCTCCCCTCGATGCAACCTCTCCCTGTACCCCAGCAGCAAACTTTTGCGCTCACTTTCTTGGCCATTAAAAGCTGTAGGCTGAAGAACTGCAAGGTTTAGGCACTAATAGTAGAGTTTAATTATAAACACCTCAGCTAACCAGGCTGGGGCTAGGCCAATCTGTTTCTGGGGGAAACACTAGCTTGAAGTCTTCTACCCAGTCAGCTGCCATTTAAGCTGAGCCAATTATCTTAGCCTTTTGACTCAGATGTGCCTGACCTAACCTGAATGTAGTTTTACTGCTGCTTTGAAATATCAGACTCATGCGCATATGCATTCACTCCCATCTTCATTTGGCAACGGCTCTGAAACAAGCCTCTGATCTTGCCAACATCAAAAGCCTGGTTTGTAAGATAAGGTAATATTTGAAGTTTGCTCAGCAGCATTCCCCTGTGTCCAAAGTAAATCCATAAATAAGATATAAGCAAATAAAAAAAAAAAAAATCCCCTTTCCTCTCCCCCACCAATCAAGAAATGGAAATAGAAATTTGCATGATGCTTTGTGGCCATTACAAAACACACACAGGCTGCTCCAGCACAGAGCACCAAGGCCGCCTGTGTGCTGCTGGGAGCCCCCTCTCCTAAGTCCAGCGCAGTTAACGTTGAGATTCATTTGGACAAACCTGACTTCTGCAGCAACGTCTGACAGACTTTTCCAGAACAAGTTTTTCCTCTCCACTTGATACCAATACGAGCCGAAAGAACTCATTTGCATTCTCTCTGATGACACAGAACAAAACCAGGGCCCCCGTCGAGGCGCAGCAGAGCTCCCAGCACAGCACAGCACCGCGGGGCTCCGTCGGTGCCGGCTCACCCCAAAGCTCCTCCTGCCAACCTCCAAACTCTCCATAAAGAAACTTGCCCGTCAGCCTCAACTTCAGCCGTGCCTCCTCAAGCACCAACTCACGGCTCCCACCTCCACCATGCAACCACCCTGGCGTGGCCGTGCCATCCCCGGATGGAGCAGCACCGCAGCGGATGCGCGCTCCAAGCCCCCAGCCGCCCCCCAACCTGGAGCTGCGGGCAGTTTAATCAGCCAAGCTTCCCCAAACTCTCACAGCCTGCACGGGCCATTGTTATGGCAGGAAAAAACAGGCAGGCTCCTTTCATGCGCTGCTTTATGGGGAGCTCCTATTCACTTGTTCAAGGAAATTTCAAAGCGGGCTGCTACCCTCTTATCCCCGCTAAGCTCCCCTGGACTAACAATGGGCTGAAAGCGATTCAGTTAAGCCTTTCATCCACCATGCACTTTATTTCTCACTCAGTGCTCTCATCTGTATAAGGCCTACAATTGGCATTGCTGTGAAGAGAGGGTATAATCCTAGCCCTGTGAATCCCAAGTGACCCTACACTGGTCCAGAAATGACTAACCCAATGAATGCTCTGTTGACACATGATCACATACAACCAGAGCCAGTAAGAAGAAATAAAGAAGTCACCCTATGATTCAGCTCTTTTATTTAATGCCAATATTGTTCAATAAGGGAATCTGGTGGGACAACAAACTATTTTTTTCCGTAATATCAGTTCAAAACACACTTGTGTATTAAGAAAAAAAAAAGCCAAATAAAAAGCTTTTGTTTATGCATCAAGGATTTTTGGTAAATCCTGTTTTCCATTGTGCATCATCATGCAGCACTGTCAACTGAAAAAACAGCATGCAAATCTCTCCGAGTACACAGGAATCACTGCCACATCCGATAGGCACAGAGGAAGGTTCAGTTCTGGGGATGCAGCACTGTTATCTGACAGGCTGTGTTTCTGGAGGATCTGCATTTAAGTGAGGATCATGGGATACAAACAGAAACATCTGCCTCCTAACCAGTAGAAGAAAGTGGTCCTTCAGAGCACTATGTGAGTCCTACTGACTTCCCTACCTCCAGACACAAAAACACCGTTTCTCTTCTGCTGGGGTAGGAAGACCGTGGGAGAACACTCAAACTCTGCACACTGCTCAGTGGTGAGGAGGAAAAAACAGATCCTGCCACAAAACCATCTCCTCCCTGTGCTCCTAACACATTCAGACCTGATCCAGGCAGTCCCGTTCAAAAGGTTCTTTGAAGGCTGCCCCAGCCACACCAGCTGAGCAGCTATTTGCCCCTTCAGGTCACTGGCCCTATTAATGTACATTCTGACATTACCGATGAACCTTAATTACAGAAAGTGCTTCCTACAGGAAGTAATCTCCTCCTCTTTGATGACTGATAACTAGTTAAGGAAGCCTGGCCTTAAGACAAAAGGCACAGGGAGATTGCTCCTTGGGTTAGTCAGGCAGTACTATTAGCATAGGGGAAAACACGTTTGCTCAGCTGCAAAGTGCCAACAGAGGGGTTCATCACCTCCTTCCATCCGATACCTACGGCAACGGCACACAGAACGAGGCCACCAGGCCTGGCTGCCCTCTGGGTTTGGCTGGGCCCACAGCTACCTGCAGAGCATCAGTACAGCCAATTGGAGATGGTGCACCCCAAAAAGGACCCGGCCAGCACGGGGTACTTACACACTGCTGTCTGTCATCGACATGGAGTCATCTGTCAGGGCATCACTGGATATTTCACTGTCGTTGGCGCTGGTTGCTGGGGCGAAGACATAGCCAGAACTCACGTGGTAGGGGTTAACGGGATCATTCCTCTTGAAGGACCTAGAGATAAGCAAACAAGAACCCAGTTATCAGCCAGGCTTGGGCTGGAGCACAGCACGTGAGCTTAGCTCTAGCACTCTCCTTGTGGGAACCCAGTACATCCCTTGAGAAGCACCAACCACCCACTGCTCACACCAGCTCCCTGCCAGCAACAAGGCCACGAGCAGGGCATGCTGTCCAAACCATGCTGCCCAACAGCCCAACATTAAAGATGTGGCTATTGGCAAAGGACACACAGCTCAGAAAACCCCAGGAGGCGCCCCAGGGCATTTTGATACCTTTAGAACCTTGGTCCTAAGAGCCTGGTGCTGTACTGCTGAAGCCAGCAGGAGCTCTGCCACCAGCAAGCACCGGATCAAGAAGTTCATAGCTTGAGTCCTACTGAGGACCAGCTCATAAATGCTTAAACCTACTCCGAAGAGAAGAGGCAAGGCACCATTGAGAGAAGTTATGGTATCTGTGTATCTGAACCAAGAGAACTGCCTGGCATTGCTAAGCAGGACCCCCACACATCACGGCTGCAACCTGCTGTCCCAGGCCCCCCAGAGAGAGGTGCCACCTTCCTGGCACCACAAAGGCTCATCTTCAGGGTGAACCTCCTCACTGAAAAGCATGGGATTTCTTGTGCTTAGGCACAGTGAGGCAGGAGGAAGGCACGAGGGCAGGAGCAGCTGCAGGTGGCAGCTGGAAGGGAACAGCTTCATCTGAAGCAGCAAAACCTGAGCCCAGCCAGGATGGCTGAGCCATCCCCACCACCCATCCGCAGGCAATGCTGGGAGCTGCGATGGGGTCACTGAGCAGGGAACCTCCAACTCAGCTGGGATCAATCCCCTATCTTGGCAGGCGATAAGGGGATTATGCAGGGAGGTTTGAAAGCTGTGTGTTAAGGTGCACATTTTGTTCCCCTGAGAGGGAAGATGGGGTTGTTAAGCTTCTGCGTTTGTATATCAAAGCAAAGGGCCTTGTCATCTGATAAGGACTGCTGATTTTAATAATTAGGGCCACTTACCCAGGACTTGGGGGCCTAAGGAATGTGCCAGCAGGCTCGGCAGGTTTTTTAATGGGCTTTCAAGGTCCCCACCCCCACAGCAGGGCTGGGGGGAGCGGTGGGATGCAACAGAGCGACCCTAATAGGGGGCAGCAGCTGCCCCACTGCTGTGCACCCCTCCCTTGCAGCACGGGGAAACGGGGGCTTTTTACAGAGCTTGGATTAAAAACAAAGCAAGAAAAAAGAAGGGAGAAAAAAAATGTTATTAAAAAAAAAAAAAAAAAAAAGGAAAAGAAAAAAAGAGAGGGAAAAAGAAAAAAAAGAAAAAAAAGAAGGGGAGAAGCTGGGCCTCTCTGGTATGAGGTGCAGGGCTGGGGCTGCTGCAGGTACTCAGCCCAGCCAGGGCCGCATTCCTTTCCAAGGGAGGCCAAGGCACTGCTGATGGGGAGATCAAGATGTTAGAAAACATATAGCTGCAAAAAAATGAGATAGTGAGGAATGCCACAGGAAAGAAGTTAAATCTTCAAAGATAAATTAATTCCACATGTGGGTGAAAGCTAAGTTATCCCACTACTACTACAAAGGAGTTTGCTAAACGCATGCAGCCTTCTGCTGTGATTCAGAGGGATGTGAAGTCCCTGTGACACTGCGTGGGTCCTTGGTGGGCTTCCAGGGGATTGTGCAAGGGATGCAGCTCTTTCCTAACTCTGATTCGAAACCATCACGGGTCTTAAGAGCACACATGAGGACCACAGGGCTCAGTGGGGTGGGATGCTCCAGGGTCCTGGATCAGGATGCACTGGGGTCCAGGCACACAGCCCTCCCCAGCTGCCCCAGGAGGGCCACATTCCTGCGCTCTCCCAGCAGATTGCTAGAGAGGCTGTGCTGGGGGTGGAGGCAGCAGCTGCTTATGAACACAGCGCAGGGTGAGGAGGTGTGTCCAAACGGTGTTCGGAAAGATATAATTAGAGAAAGTGAAGCCAGAACTCACTCCTCTTCAACAGTCTGCAGCACCACTTCCCCCACCAAAGCCTCACTGATGGAAAACCCCCAAAGTTCACCTATCTTTAAAGCAAGCCCCCACTCCACAATCTTCAAGCCCAACAGCCCCTGCTCATTTTCCACATTCCTTTTTTGTTTATTAATTGTTTTATTTTCACTTGACCACCTGGCTGCAGGAATTGCCCCCAGCTGCACCACACTGCCTGCAGGGGCTGGAACTGCTGTAGGCACTGCTCCAATGCAGCCCCAGCTCCACGTGCAGCTCTCCAGCTGTCAGGCAGCAGTTGCTTTGGAGCTTTAAGGAGAACACTTGATGTTTCTCAGACTGTTCTTATCTGGATGCAACAACACACAGCATGCAACTCTCTCTGCCCTGTTAGGCCATGGGTGTATCAGAGCTCAGGGCCGTTATGATTCCAGGGGCTCCTGGTTGCATCTCCTACTACCAGAGGGCCTTTGCAAGTGTGTTTTTTTTATTGCCAAACTGTGCTTTTTCAAAATAAGAGCATTCTGGCACTTCAAACCACAGAGAGAAAAGAAAATCTACCAGGAGCATTTTGAGGCAGAACTGAACCTCATTAAGTACCTTCTTGGGACAAACATCATAGGGCACTCACAAGCTTAAAGGCAAAAAGAAAAAAATGTACAAACATGGGGGGGGGAGAAACATATTTTAAGAAAACTATGTTAATCACAGCTTCCATACTCTAATTGTAGAACACTGCTTCGAGCATAACTTTACAATGGCATCATTTACTTTGATAATTGAAGCCAAACTCAGTTCCAATAACTTTGCACACAACAGCTCCACCGGCGCGGCGTTCAAAGGGCAGGAAGCCTCGGAGCCAGCACTGCTGATGAATGCAGGGCTAATGGGAGGCAGATGAGCCCACCGTGCTCCCAGCACCACTTCAGTGGCACTGACAAGGCCGGAGAGGAGAGTGGCTCTGTGCACACAGACTGATGTGTGATAAACTTAGAAGGGCATATAAATAATGGCTGGGATTCCTAGACAATGGGGCCAGGTCCAGCACGCTCAGCAGTGCTGATGCTGGGGATGAAGGCTCAGCCACACGCTTCCTGCAGAGTGCCATGGCTTTGGCCACAACTCCGTGCCTTGGGATTTCCAGGTGCCTCCTGGCCCCAAATCTTGGATCAGGTGCACTCAGCCCCATGCTGCTCTGCTCTAACAGTCCCACCGAGACCCAAGTGGGAAGAGCCTGCACAGCGCTTCCAAATCGTAGCACGCTGGGTCCAGGGCAGGAATTCTTTGATTCCATTGCACGTATGAGGAGGGAGGTGTGGTTTGGCCACTCACCAGGAAAGACTTTGTGGGAGCTTCAGCTCCAATCCTGAGCGCCTTCCTAAATGCTGAGTGATGAGAGATAACCCATCCACATGCTCTTAAAACACACACACAAAAGTGGCTCTGCAAATGGGCAGCTCAGGGAGGGACTGAGAAGCATCGCAGCTTGACCTCTCTCTTTGCATTGAGATCTCTTGGCCCCATGGAGAGCAAAAGCTCCTGGAAATTTAACAGGAGGTGATCAAAGCACAGCACACCACCTAACGTCCTAGGAGGGCAGATCTGACATGTGAGGAGCAAGCTGCATTCATCCTGGGACCAACAAAAAGAAGGAAAAAAAGAAAAAGCCCACAAGTGCTAATCAGAGAAGCAGCCACAGCTGTGCAAGAGCTCTTGTGGACCTGGAGCATGTGGGCTTCAGCAGGGCCTGCAGCTCTGGCAGGACACCACACTGAGCCCCCCCAGCCCCAAACACCAACAAAGCCTGCAAGATGAAAGCACCCAACATCCTCTCCTGGAAAGCAAGCAGAGGGCAGCAGGTCACAGCAGGCTCTGGAGAACAGCAGACTGTCAGACAGCAACACTGAGGCATGAGATGAAGAGCCCCAAACCCCAAGTCCCGCACACAGCTGCCAGCCAGAGCTCCCATCCTAAGTAGCCTCCCAGCACAACCACAGCGGGGATGAGACCGTTTCCCCCCCCCATCCTGCACCGCTCCGGTGGCCATCACCTCTTCTCTGCCTCCAGCAGGGGCAGAGATACCAAACCAAACCGCATCACCCCGCAGCACGCAGGAGGCTGAGCCCCACGGGCTGCCTGGCACCGCACAGCCCCACAGCGGGCAGCTCGGCGCAGGGCAGGAGGAGCGTTCCGGCACTGCCTCCCCCGCTGCGCTGCCGTGCCCTTTGATGTCCATGAATCACAGACAGCACTCCAAATTCCCCTAACCGAGATGTCAGGCACTTACCAGAGCTAAACCCAAACTCCCCATCCCGCAGACAGGAGCGCACATCTGCCAGCAGAGCCCTCTCCTCTCAACCCTGATTCAACGAGCCACGCTTATGGCAAGGGTGGGGAGAGGAAAGAATACATTTTCAGGGGATTATACAACTCATCATTCGCTCATCTGAGCCTCCTTCCCATCCCCCTTCGCTCGCAGAGGGCTGTCCCTCTCCTCACCATCACCACCACATCAGAGGGGTCGGCGGGCAGAGTGCCCCCAGCCAAAGGCTCTACCACCCCCAGCACAGGCCATGTCCCCTCCAGTGCCATCAAACAGCCACAGCCTTGGCCCAGCTTGGACCACGCAGCAGGACAGCACCCAGGTGTGCTATTCCCCTACACCTGGGCTTCCCCTATGACCTTAACTACTTCTTTTTAAGTATCCTTCTGTATACATTGGCCCAAAGCCACCCCAAATAGCTCTGACACGACGCCAACCACAACGCAACGAGAGAGGCTCCGTATCACACAGCCAAAACAAAAAGATGATTTTCTGCGAGTTGCACAGTTGGGTGTAATGAGCTCGTACGTTTCCTGCTCCATGACCACACAATTGCTTCCCACATAACCAGCAGAGTTAAGCCCTGGCTGATGGGGAAGTCGGGGAGCTGGCAGGTTACATTATTCATGTGCCTCTATGATCCTCTCCACCACTGTGCTTAATAGGTTTGAAAGTCGAACCAATAATTAACGCGTGTCCGGAGGACATAGTTGCTATGAAGTTTTTGATCTATACGAACCGAAAGAGCCAATGGGGCCGAAGAGCACAGCCTCTTCTTTTCCCTCCGCAGAGGGAGCAAAAAAAAAAAAAAACACAACAAAAAAAAACCCCCAAAACCCAACGCCCCCAAATCCCCCTGATCCCCCCCCACCTCCCCCACACGCAGCCCCAGATCCCAGCACAGCCCGTTTCCCAGCTCCCCTTACCTGTACCCATTCTCCAATGTCTCGGTTGCTCTGACGCTCGCTGTAACCCTCAGCGTTTTGCTGGACAGCCCAACCACTGAAGGCAGCATTTTGCTTTTGAAGTCGGCGCAGCTCCATTCCTCCTCCTCGTTCAAGGTCGGCAGATAGCCACAGACAACTTTTAAGCTCCCCAGCCCATTGCTGCTCATGTAAGCGGGGTTCTCTCCTCCGCTCCGTACGTATTCGAGGTATATATCAGAAGTTAAAAACATCTGGTACGCATTTTCCTCCATCACAGTCTGGATCTCAGTCTGTGCCTGATCAAACATGATGGAATCTATCTGCTGCTTCTTGATGCTATCCCTTATGTAGGTCTTGGTAGCAGGCTTGAGCTGCTTGGAGACGATGCTGTTGTTCTCGATGTACCTTTTGTAGATAGCTTTGGCTACTCTTGAAGTTTTGGTATCCTTAAGGTCCATCTGCCTGAAGCCATTGCAGGCAAACCAGAAGTCTAAGGTATCCACGCATTTTTCCCTTTCCAAGAAGGTCCGAAAGAGATAGGCACCATCTTGATCTCCCAACAAGGAGTGCAGGGATTTGGTCCAACGGGCCAGCGGGGAATCGGGGGACGCGCTGCCCTCCGGCTCCCCCAGCCCGTTCTCATTCCTCCGCGGGGCAGCGGGCACCGGCATGGCCGTGAAGCTTTGGCTTTTGGCGAGAAAGGAGCTGTGGGGCTGCGGGCATGGCGGTGCCTCTCCCTCCTCCCCCGGCACCGGGGGTCGGGGCGCGTCCTCCCTGAAGCTGCTGCCGGGGTCCGGGAGGTGGGCGAGGAGCACGGCGCTGCTCATGGCTCCGGAGCGGGGCTGCGGGAGGCTCCGGGAGCTGCGTGCCGCTCGCTCGAGTCAGCGGGGGATCCTGGGAGGCTCCTCTCTGGGAAGGGGGAAAAAAAAAAAAAAGGGA